AAAGCATCCCCCCCCCCCCCTGACGCAACAAGCTGTTCAGGATAACTTCTTTCAATCATAGATCCAAATATGTATGATGGGACGGACATAGCTGAAATCTACAAAATCTGCTGATGCTACCGCCATCGGTCCAAAATCTCCAGTAGATGGATTTGAACTATCTGGGGCATCCTTTCGACGTTGGGGGAAATTCTTCGTACTTCATTGAACAGCTGCTCAAGCTAGGCAGAATTTAACCGGTAATATGCCGTTCTGTCCCCGTACATAAGGCCACGGACCACACATAACCAACGTTTCCGCAGGCCGAACTGAACTGTTTTAAGGTTAGCATGAATGTTTTTTGCGATCGTTTTTTTGTCTTGCACGATCATACGCGACATCGAATTCCAATCCATGGTATCGCATAATCTCACGTCTGTCTCCAACAGAACATAATTGTACTTTGGTCACGTGATATAATCCAATTAGGCCTATGCTGCGTGATTCGAGTCACGAACCAAATACTCAAACCATTCATTCCAGTGTGGTTGGCACAAATGTGGTATTGGTTGACCTGCTAAAATCTTGTCGTACGGTACATTGTTTCCATTTTTTTCTTTCCTAGGCGCATCAACTCGAACTACATCCTCGTTCCCCGTTTCCTCATGTTCGTCATTTTCCCTGTAGACTCCTGGAGGGAAGTCCCCTTGTTGGATGAACTAGACAGTATGTGGTTTCGTTCATTACACTCATACAACCAACTTTCAGAGATTGTTTACTGTTGAGTGTATGAGCGGGGGACAAAGTACGCGCATGAGATATGCACCGAACGGCAGGCTTAGGTCAGCGATTGTGGGTCAGCCGAATACGAAATGAGCGATTCACCCAAGCCATCTGAGTTTGGTCAACTATCCATTGCGTCAAGTGTGTGTGTTGGGGGGTGTTGCAGGAACCCGTGAAACCGCCTTGTTATCTAAGCGAAAACCCACGCGCATCAAGGTTGCAGTGCGATGGGTTGCTTTCTCGAGAAGAAGATATGGTATGTATGAATGGACAAACTTGCTCAACCACTTTTAGTTCAATCACCAAAACGCATTTCTGGTGCAGCGAGTAATGAGTTTAAATGTTTTAACCGCCTGTACGACAATAACAATGTTCACTGTTCCATCACACACACACACTGTTGCATTTAATGAACAATTTGGCACTGCAATACTAACGCAGCCTTTGGTTAACTTCACGGCTGAAATACGTCACTACTAGGATGGCGCGTTCTTTTTCGTTTCCTTTAGTGTCTCGATTCGAATAGGTTACACACAGGGAACTTTCGAACCGTGCACACGAACATTTTTGATTCTTTACAATGGGTAACTGCTATTTGAAGGTCGACAAATGGATAACAGATAAATGTTTTTTTCGAGTTGGGACTTTGTTTTTGTTATTGTTACACTTACCCTTGTGTGATCAACAGCGGACAAGGGCGGACCCATGATCATACGGACCTGCCATTCACTTACTGTAATGGGCAACCTAAGCTCAGAATTTGAAGTGGCAAGCCATATTGAGGCCTCATTATTTTGGGTGTAGTATTGAGCCGAATGACAGTAATGTTCCGTACCCCCAACGTCGGGTGGTGATGGCGGTGCGGTTCGAACCTCGGATCCAAAACGCATCCATCATGGCGAATTGAATCGCTTGCATGAGCCCACTGGATGTGACAAGCCTACTTAGTGGAGCCCTCTTATCTCTTGTTTTTTTGCACAGTTTTCATATCTGATCACTCTGCATCGCGAATCCTTGATGCCTTTCCCTAGTCGATTATGAAGAAGAATTTAACGTGAGTATAGGCCTCTGTCAGTCCTTTCCGATTGTTGGGTTTAACGTCCGAGGAATAGAAAATGTAGTTGACGAAGAGTGAAGCAAAATAGCGCAGAATTCATGTTGTTTATACTTTGAAAGCTAACTGTTTCAGAGTGGTGGTTTCATGATTTAACCCCATGAACTTTCGACTGAGGTTACATTAATGATTAACACTCCTGGATCGGCATTGTAGTCAACGGATGACCTGGGAAATCAGTCCTTGACACTGGTTCCCTTCACGTTTTGATTGAATATCCGCTATTACCTGACTTCCTTATGGCAACATAATCCCAGTCAAACATTTTCCCACCCCCCTACCCACTCACTCGAAAATTTTGTTCATGTTTCTTCAACTTGTTCCAATCTTGTCATTTCTGCGGAGCACCGGCAATTGGCGATAAGTTTTACGGTTTTGACGTAAACTCTACGCGCGTTGCACACACACGCACACTGCTTTTTCTGTCGCATGTTGGCTGCTTTGAACGCGATCATGATGCGTGTGTCTAATTGCAATTAATCGTAGTGACGAAAACGATGCGCTGCTGACCGACTGGGCTAAGTGTATGGGGTAATATGTCCTGGTTGTTGTATGCCATCAGTGACGAGCGTTAAACGCGCTCTGTCACGTGAAACTTATTTCTGATTGCCATTACTGATTGTGATATGTGTTTAAAACAGAACCGCCAGTGTTGCTTCACGCTTTTCTCAGTTTCTTTTCAACTAGAATTCCTTTTTTCATTGGCTCGTATGTTCATCAGTCTAACACGTGACCAATCGCTTACGATGTATTTTTTTCTAATGATCAGTTCAAAGCGAATGTCCGATGTTTATCTACCAGAACTATTCCTTCTGATTGACACCTGTTTCTGCTTGCAGGTTACTTGGATGAAGCATTACTCGATCGGATTCCCGGATCCCATTCCAATCGAATGTCCTTGCTGGGGGAAGTGAACTGGATTTTCACTGCAGTTACAGATACAATTGCATGGTGTAGTTTTCCGATCGATATATTTCAAAAACTGTTTCGGCAAGATCTGCTTGTTGCCAGCTTGTTTCGTAACTTCCTCCTGGCCGAACGGATTATGAAAACGTACGGATGTACTCCGGTTTCTGCTCCGGCCCTGCTACCCACTTTTCGACACCCAATGTGGTACGTAATGGTTGAGGGATGGGGGGGGTGTGATCACCTTTTTCCCTTTCTGTTCGGGCGCGCTGGTTGTGCAAATCTTCACTTTTTTAAGGTCATTGTTCTGCAGGATAGTGTTTTCATTATTGTAATTTTCTGTTTGCCTCCCCTGTATTGTAACAGAAAACCAACTACTTTTTATCATATACTGCTCCAGTGACGTCGCAGGAATGTTTTTTTGACCGCTCCACTAACCTTTGTAGCACAACTTTAACTATCTTGTCCACTACCGCAATTGTATGTTCTGTCTTATTCTCATGTTGTTTATAACCGGAGCCATGGTTACCTAACTGATGTCCACGCTTCACTGCATTACCAGTTGCCTATTCCAACTCTCATGTTAGGCAACTTTCACTTTAGCCTAGTTCAAATTGTGGTCAAAGCCAGGCTTGTCCTGAGAGTATAAAAACCTTGATCATGAGACGTGAGACGTCGCGTAAGCCTTCCTGGATAGGGACATCGGCATCACCGTAATCAGAGACACTGAGTGCCCTTGCCGAGTGTCGTAAACAGTAGAGCTCGGACATCTACTCATGATCCTTGCATCCCTAGTCTTCACGAATTCTCCATTTTCACTGTGACAATATGGTCAGGAATGGGTGTCTAAGGTTACGACTGATCACCCTCCCCTTGCACCTCGCGAAATGCTCCCATACGACCATGCGTCTCAAATAGCCTCTGCTGAGGAAGCCCTACTCACTGGCCTCTCGATGTTTTCCCACCAAAGTGAGAGAACGAAGAGCCGACATCCGCGGTTATAACCGTTTTAGTGGATCACTGGTAGTTCACC